TAAAATAAAAAAAAAAAAAACGCGAACCATGGTATTTGGAGAAAAGAAAAAACATTGAAGTCAGAAGGTATTTTTAATAAATATATTATATTAATTTGTTTTTTACATATTCCCATTATTTTTTTTTATTCCATGCATAATCATATGTATTCGTATATATAACGATGTTCTAAATTATTTTATTTGTGGATATTTTATTTCATTTATTATGTTTTTATATGAGTTTCCCTTTATATTTTTTATAACTGAAAAATTATTAATACAATATCTATATATTTTTTAATATAACAATTATATATATTTCATTGATAAATTTTTTTTTTTTTTAACAAAATTTAACATAAGCTACATTTATTAATACATTAAACTGTGATTATATTTTAATTTTAAAATGATTATTATACATGAATATTACTTTAAATCGTAACTACAATTTTATTATATTCAATTTTTCGTAACATTGTTTTAAATATCACTATATAAAGAACACACGCCATATTTTATATGAAAATTACATTTTCAATCGCACATATTTTGTATTTGTATTAGTTATTTTTTTATAATTATGTATTGTAATTTATTGTAGACATTACTTATGTTTTTATTTTTTTTTTTAAACATACATTTTTATTGCATTTATTACATTTTCTTAATTTGATGTTCAAGTTTTTTATAAATTATTTTATTATGATAATCATTTTTCACTATGTATAATGTTGAAAAGAGTATTTAACACAAAAATTTAAAAGAGGAAAATGTATTCTGTATTTATTTATTACATATATGTGAATTTTTTTTTTTTTTTTTTTTATGTTTCTGTTTTTAAAAATGCATGCCTATAAAAATTTTTTTTTTTAAAACTTTTGTAATATTTTTATATTTTTTTATTTTATTTTTGTAGGAATGAATATTGTGATAGAAAACATAAAGTGTTAAAAAAAAAAAAAAAAAAAAAAAAAAGGAATTAAAACTCAAAAATAAATGTAAGATATATATATATATATATACATTTATTATTTTACTGTAATAATGTATAAATTTTTTTTTTTTTTTATTTGATATATATATTTTTTATCCAATGTTAAAAGTTATTTAAACTTTTTATAATTTGAATCTAATTATTATATTTATTTTACTTTTTTTTTTTTTTTTTATTTAGATACCTTTAGTTGTTTTAATTAAAAAAGATATATATAAATATATATATTTATTCTGTATATTGCAATTAAAGTAAAAAATATAATTGTTTGACAATAACTGAGGGAAACATTTTTGTTACCGCAAAAATTAAAAAAATTTAAAAAAAGAATAACTAATTTTTATTTTTAAATAATACTTAATAAAAATGAAGAAAGATAGAGAACCAATAGATGAAGATGAAATGAGAATAACATCAACTGGGAGAATGACCAACTATGTTAATTATGCTGCTAAACTTCTTGGGGAAGAAGAAAAAAAAAGTATAAAAATAAAAGCCACTGGAAATGCAATTGCAAAAGCAGTAACTTTAACAGAAATCGTTAAAAGAAGATTTAAAGGATTACATCAAATTACAAAATGTGGAAGCACTATTATAACAGATCAGTATGTTAGTGGACAAGATAATAACGAACATGTTGTTCAAGAAAAGACTGTTTCTTTTATTGAAATTTTATTATCAAGAGATCAATTAGATACTAAAGATGCAGGTTATCAACCACCCTTAGACGAGAAATATGTTAAAGAAATGACACCTGAAGAAATTGTTAATTCTAGAGGATTTAGAGGTAGAGGATTTAGACCAAGATATTACAGAGGCTTTAGAGGAGGAAGAGGTAGTGGATTTTTAAGAAGAGGTGGATATAGAGGATTTTCAGAAAGAATGTATGAAGGAAGAAATAGTTTTAGAGGTGGTAGAGGTGGAGGATATGGAGGTAGTTTTGGTAGAGGTGGATACAGATCTGGTGGTGGTGGAATGGGAGGTGGAAGAGGTGGATACAGAGGTGGATATAGAGGAGGAAGAGAAGGTGGCTACAGAGGGGGAAACAGAGGAGGAGGATACAGAAGCGGCAGAGGTGGATATAGAGGAGGAAGAGCTCTTTCATAAACTCAAATAAATTGATACAATTACTATAAATATATTAAAAAATTATTAAAAAAAAAAATAAAGTATATATATATATATATATGTATATATTTATATGTATTTATATCTATAGTAAAAAAACAAATATTATATATTTATATATATTAGTAATTACTAAAAAATACTAAAAATACTAAAAAAAAAAAAAAAGTTAGAAATATATATATTTATATGTATACAAATAAAAATTTATATAGAATTATTCTAGAAAGAAAAAAATTAAGCATACAGTTACATGACATTTTTTAGCTTTTATATTCAAGATAAATAGTAAATCAAGTATAAAATGTATATATATATATATATATATATATATGCAGAATTTTTTATTATTTAATAAAAAAAAAATTGAAAATACAATAAATTAATAGTAATACATAAAATTAATTTAAAATTACGTGAAAAAAAAAGTAATAAATATTTCTATATTGATGTTTGATAGTAAAAAAAATTATGCATAATCACTTTTACATATATATTATATTTTTTTTTATAATTTCTTTAATATATTTTTTTTACACTCATACAAAAGAAGATTTTTATAAAGCGCATGTAACGTGTTCAGAATTTTTTTGCGCTTAAATATATTAAAAGAAAATTAAAAAATATATATATATGTGTTATGTATATTTTTCAAAATCACAATATTCAATTGACATAAAAAAAAATTATATATATATATATATATATATATATATATATATAAGAAACGTTCTAAAATAAAATATATAAGTTCGAAATATATTTTATAATATTTTTTTTAATAGATATATAAATGAAAAGTAATTATAAGTTAAAAGAAAGCAATGAATAATTTATAGAAAGTTAATTTAAATTTTAATAAACAGTAATTATATTTATTTCATATTAGTATGTATTTTTACACAAAGCAATAATACCAAAAATAAAAAAAAAAAATACATTATTTTTTATATATAAATATGTTAATATTAGTTTAAATTAAAAAAAGAATAATGAAAAATACTTAAATTTTTTTATGCAAATAATATTTTGCAGTTTATAGAAAAAAGTTTTAATATATTTTTTTTTTTTTATCTCTAAACATTTCCAATGATATTATGCAAATATTAGGAAAATTATAAGAAAAACTTGTTATATTTTATAAAAAAATATAATAGGTGGATTATTTAGGCATTAATAATAGCTTTTAATTTTACCTATTGTATATTTTATTTTTTAAATTGTCCTATGAAAATAATAAAAATTTTTCTATAATAGAAATCCTATATAATTTGTTATTAGTAATTGTAATAATTATCTTTTTTTTCTTTTTTTTCTTAATCAAAAGAATTATAAATTTTACTATATATAAAAAATTGAAGTGTGCACATTTTAAAAGAAAAATTTTAATGAAGCATAGGATTGTATTAAAATACAATATATTTATTAAAAAAAATATATTTATCAGTATATTTTTTTTCATATCTTTTTCTAAAATAAGGTAAATTATTTTAATTTTTAATTGTATAAAGCTTATATAAAAAAGTATAAGACAATATTACTTTAGAAAAAATATACCTATATAAATATTAAATAAATAGTAAATCATTTTTGATAATGAAAAATGTGTTCATTTAAAAGTATAAATTAAATAACAATGATTTTAAGAATTTTAATTTAAATTTAAATGTAGTTATATTCACTTACAAATAATAGTAATATAGGTTAATTTCAACAATGTTATAAAATATTTTTTTAAAATATTAAAAAAAAAAATTAAATTATTCAAAATAAAATATATATTTATTTAATAAAATAACATAAAAATGGAATATGCAAAATAAATATATTTCAATATAATATTATTAAAAATAAATAAAAGTTAAAAGAATGATTTAATGTATTATGATAAATTTATAAAATATATTTAAACTTATTAACGTAAACAAATTAAAATAAATAAGATTAATTTCACCTTATTTTGTGATAAGTTTTACAAATTAAAATGAAAAAAAAAAAAAGAGTTAAAAAAAATTTTTTTCACGAATATAAAACATATATTGAGTTGTAAAATAAGATTAATATAACAAAAATTCCCATTTTTTAATATATAAATACTTATTTGAACTTTTTACTTATTTCTTTATAATATTTCATTTGTTTCTTAGAAACACTTCTTGGAATAGTTTTTATTGCTGACAAAATATGTTTTTGCTTAATTGTTAATATATTTTTATTTTTTTGAATGAATTCATATATTAAATTATTTTTATCTTTTTCGCTTAATTCTTCATTTTTTAAATCTTCAATTTCGTACATCATGTTATTTTTTTTTATTAATATACTATTTTCATTATTAAAACTTATTATTTCCCCATTTTTATTTTTGCTTAATATTTCTTTTTCATCCAAATTCGATATTTCATTGCAATTCTTGTTATCTAATTCATTATTTTTTTTGCGATTTATCTCATTATTCATTACAGTTTTTTCTTTAAGTAATTCTAAGTCATTTTCAATAGTTTCTTTATTTTCAAATTCAATCATTTTTTTATTTATCTCTTTATTTTTCCTACCTATTTCATTACATACATTATGACTTTTACCAATTTGATTAAATGGCATATAATTTAAATCATTTTGAACAGTTTTGCAATTATTTTGCATGTGTATTTTATTATGTGAATTATCATTCGAAAAATTATCAAAGTCTTCTACATACGTACTTAACAAAACCTTTTTATTCTTGAATTTTTGTATAGAATTATTTGTATTATTGTCATTATTGCTATTTACATTTTCATTTTTTGATATAAAAAAACTGTTTTTATCCTTAGATAGATATATATCACAGTTGGAATCATTATGTACTACATTATTTGATGTTTGCAAGTCTGCATTTAAAAAATCAATTTCATCTCTACATTCTTGAAGGGCTATAAAAGCGCTTTCCCTTAAAACTCCATATAAATCTGCACCACTATAACCCTTGGTTAAATGGGATATTTCAGAAAAATCAACATCTTTATCTATAGGCATATTTTTTGAAAGTTTTTTTAAAATATCAATTCTTCCCTGATATTTAGGTAAAGAAATATATATGAGTTGGTCAAATCTACCACTTCGTAATAATGCTTTATCTATTATATCTGGTCTATTTGTGGTTGCTATAATGTATACGCTCTCCCTTTGTGAAAGACCATCCATTTCAGCTAATAACTGATTTACAACTCTATCTGATGCTAATGCAGCTTTATTATTAGCCCTATTAATACATATACTATCTATTTCATCAAAAAAAATTAAACATGGCTTATATATTGAAGCATATGAGAAAATTTCTCTAACTTTCTTTTCACTTTCACCAACATATTTGTTTAAAATTTCAGGTCCTTTAATAGCTATAAAATTTGCTTTCATTTCATTACTTATTGCTTTTGCGAGCATAGTTTTACCACATCCTGGAGGCCCATACAATAATATTCCCATGCTTTTATTTATACCTAAATGTTTATATATATTAGCATATTTAATTGGTAATATAAATTTACATTCTAATATTTTCTTGATTTTTTTTAAAGATCCTATATTATCTAAACTTATGTTAGGTACTTCACATATATTTTGTGTTGTCATTTTTTTCTTTATATTATTTACACTCTCATATATAATATCATTGTCAATGTTTATATTAACTCTTTTTTGCTTTTTCTCATTTACGTTTTCCACATTCCTTTTATAATTAAATATACTACTATATTTTCTTTTGTAGCTAGCTTCTTTATTAATATTATTATTATTTACATTTATAGAACTTCCAGTTTTATTGAAGTTATTACTTTTTATATCAGGTGAATATTCAGAATTACTATATATATGAAATATATTTTCTTCTTTTTCTAAATTATTAGTGGTTTTATTATTTTGAATTTCTTCATCACATTTTCCTATCATATTTATATTCTTTTCCATTATAGATGCATCATTATCATTTTTAATTTTTTCTTCTGTTCTTATATTATAAAAATTTTCATTTATATCATCATTTTTTTTTTCTTCTATAAGAATGTCTTCTCTTTGATAAAAATCATCGAAATTCTTACTTTTATATTCTATATCTTTTTCATTTTCTTCAACATTATTTGTATTGATACTTTTTTTTATAACATCATTATATATGTATAAATTTAATGATTCCTTAATAATATCGTATATTTGTCCTCTATTAAATCCATATGTAACTGACGCTGTGTATTTAACATCAAAATAAACTGAAAATTCTTGAGATATTTGTTGAAGCATTTCTACTCGATCTTCATATGTAGGTATAGGTATTGATATAAATTTTTGAATTTTTGTATAAAGTATGCTTTCATATGGCTTATCAACACTTAACAAAAGTATGATAATATTAGAATTATCAAATATACTTAATAAGTAAGTAAATAAATATAAATCAGTAGAATCTTCTTTTGAAGAAAATATAATATCTATATCATCAATACAAAGTATACCTTTATTATACTCTTTTTTTATATGTTCAAATATTATTTTTATTTTATTATTTTTTGCGTCGTTCGATAAATATCTTATATACTCTGGTAGCTTTATATAGAAAAAAGGGCAATCACATTCTCCTGCAATAGCATAAGATAATGTAGTTTTTCCTGCACCACTTACACCATTAATATTAATAATAGTATTAAAAGAATCTTCTCTAAATTTATATGGATAAATTATACTATATAATAAATCCTTTTTTATATTTTTGATTCCTTTATAATCTCTTAAATTTCTATTAGATTTTATACAATTTATAATATTGCTAGAGTTGTCTATTAAACTATTTTCTCTGTTTTCTGTAATATTATTTACTTCTGATTTAATTTTCTGACTAATTAAATTTAAAAACATATTTTTTTCTTCGTTAATAATTTTATCCTTTATTTTATTTTCTATAAGTTTTTTACTCGTCTTTTTATTTAATTCACTCATTTTATCATTTTCATTTTTCTTACTCACATTTGTATTTTTTTTTATTGCTTTTATATTTTCCTTTTCGACTTTATTTGCATTTTCATCTATGTTTAGTTTCTCTATCTCTTCTTCACTCTCACCTTCATTTTCAGTTTTCTTTTTCTTTTCACATTTTTTATCTACATCTTCTATGTTTTCTTTTGATTTAACATCAATTTTTTTATTTTTGTTCATCTTTATTTTATCATTTCTACATATTATATTTTTCATGAAAGTATCGTAATTTTCAAAAATATTTCTTACTACATTTATAATTATTGTTTTTAATTTCTTTTTTGGTGAACGTCTATATTCTAAATATTTTTTTCTTAAAATATTTTCTATGAAAGAATAATTATTTATAATATTCTTTAAATTTACTTGTTTATCTTCATTTTTTAAAATTAAATTATTATCTAAAATTATATCATATATTCTTTTTTTTAAAGAATCAAAAAACATTTTTCTTCTTATAAATGTATGAAAGAAAAATAATAAAATAAAAGTAAAAAGACTACCTTCTTTTTTATCATCTAAAAGAATACAATGTTCACATTATCCTTTCATTATTGTTTAAATTTTTTTCCTTTCAAATTTACATAAATAAAACAAAAACTCAAATATCTATAAAGATAACGTTATATAGACTTTTAAAAGATATATTAAAAATTGTTGTTAAATGTACAACATTAAAAAAAATTTTATATTCAAAACATAATAAAAAAAAAAAAAGAAAATAAGCAAAAAATATTTCAAAATAAGATGGCCCAACAAAATGTATTTTAAAGGTTTAAACAGACAATATATATATATATAAATACATAAAAATATAAATTTTTTTTTTTTTTTTAATTAAAATAATGAATTAATAAAAATAACTTCTTTATATTTTAAAAAATCTCACTAAAAAAATAAATAAAATTAAAAAAAAATGTAACAAGTGTTTATAAAAAAAAAAAAATAAAATAATATATAATTTTATATAGAAACAAAATTAATCAATTTCATAATTCGAATTCCTTAAATTATATTTATATATATGTATAATTTGTCATTATTTCATTTATTTAACAAGATAAAACTTCATTATTTGACATAATTATGAAAATTAAACCTATTAATATAAATATCAAATAAAATTTTTTTTAATTTAGTATATCAGAAAAATAAATTAAACTGCATATATATATATATATATGGATTAATATTTTTATTATTATGTTTAAAGTTTTATTTTGCGGTTTTTTTAGTAAGAATTAGCAATTTTTTATTAAAATAATTACATAAATGCCTTTTTTTAGCAAATTTTATCGAATAGAAACTTCAGAATAAAATAAATTTTATATTTCGTAAAAAAGAAATAACTAGAATACCTTAATGTTTGGAACTTTGAACTTTAAGGATTTACTAAAATTTTATGTTAATTTATATCTTAAAAATGAGAAACAAAATTTAAATATATAAACAAAATAGGAAATCTTTTATTAAAAAAAAAAAAAATGATAATTTTAAGGCTATTTAAAAAAAAAAAATAATTAAAAAATATAAAACTTTAAAATTAACAAAAAAGTAAAAAAATAAAAATGAAATTACAAAAAATATATAAAATTTTTATTACTCATTTTTTAAAAAAAAAAAAAAAATAATATACATATGTACATTTTTTTATTAAATCAAATTTTTGAAGTTTTTCATGTTAAAAGGATCTGACATGGCTTGAATACTCCTTTCGTATTTTCGGAATTCTTCAAGTGTTTTACATGCTTTCGTTGATATTTTTAAGTATCTATCTTTTTTTACATTATCTTTTTCATTTAAAGCCTTATTATTATATTCTCTTTCAATTTTTGTTAAATAATCCTCATAGCTTATTGAAGTGTTCTTATTTATTAACTCTTTTAATATGAAGAAGGAAATATCTTTAATTATAAAATAATTAAAATGAGATTTAGCAACAGCCAATGGATAAATATAATGTTCCATTATAAATTCTTGCAACTGATAATCATATCGAAGAGGTAATTCTTCTTCTTCCTTATTAGAATTAGTAGTTAGTATATTATTACTACTATTTTTATTGTTTCCTTTATTTTTGACTTCATTTGAATTATCACTTATATCATATTCAAAAAAAGAATGCTCACTATTAGAATCTTGAGATGCACAAACACTTTTTGTACTATCTGCATAGCTTGAATTTTCTTTAGAACTACAATCACTATTGTTTGCAATGTTGGAGTTATTTAATTCATATCTTTTCTCGTTTTCAATTTCACATGTTTCATTACAAGATTTATTTTTCCTTTTATCCTTCTCTATGTTAATTTTTCTTTTTTGAATGGCCATTTTTCTTTGATTTTCTTTTACTTTTAGTAAGAACATATTTATGTCTTTGCTTTCACATTTATTATAGCAAATGTTTCTATTTAAAGTTCCCTGATTCTCATCGTTACTTTCAGATTTTCCGATAAATTTATAAAAACCAGTGGTAATGGCAGATGTAATGTCATTTAAATTTTGAACAATAGCTATTTTTGCATTATGCATATTTTTATCCCATTCAAACCAATACCTAGCTCCATTATTTCTCCAATAATTAATTAAAACTGGTTGAGGAATATTTTTTATTTTAGGATAAATTAGTGGCTCAATTCTAAAAGCAACCGGATCAAAACCATGAAAAATGTTATAAAATTTCAATTCTTTAATTAACTTAAGTCCATTGTTTATATACTCAGGTTTATATAAAGATAATAAAGCACTCAACGGACTTCCAAGTGTAAATAAATAATGAATTTTACTTTTTAAATTATATTTCAAATTACTTTCACTAATTCGAACTTTCACATTGTTTAATATTTCATATGCCATTGCACTACCTAGTGAATATCCTAAAAGACATATTTTGGAATTTTTAAATCTTCCTGTTGAATCCTATAAATTAAACATATAATTATATATTTTTTTAATCTATTTAGATGTATTTTTTCTAATATATAAAAGTAAACACTTTTTTATATGTAAAAGCTATATAGGATTTCAATTTACATTTATAGTATTATAAGTTTTAAAATTACACTCTTTAAAGATTCTAAAGTTTTATTAATATCATTATATAAATTTAGCATTATATAATCCCCATATCTTGGATGTAAAAAACATATTATATCCCCAGAAGCTAAATTAACTATTTTTCTAGTCTCTGTCATTGTATTGATATTTATTCTATTAAAAACACTACAAAATAAAAATAAAAAAAAAAAATTATTATTTTAATATTTAAAGATATAAATTGTAAGTAATATAAAATAAAGGGTAACATAATTTTCATAGTTTTCTATTTGAATAAAAACTTTTCATAGAAATATTAAAATATACTATTATATGTTTATATGAAAAAATTATTACTGAATTTGTGCGTCAATTATATACTTTTTCCAATTAAATATATGAAAATGTATATTAAAAGGATAATCAAAAAACCACATTTTTTTTACAATTTTAAAGCTATTTTTAAGATCTTCACATTGATTTATAATCAATTCTTCATTTGATCCTATACCATGAATTATTAATATAATATAATCTACGTCGTTAACTTTGTCATCTAAATAAGGTTCTTCTTCATAAAATTTTATTTCAGTATCTTTTTTACATTTAAGAGTTTTTTTATTAACACTTTTTTCTTTTTTAGGAAAAAATTTAAAACGATTGTTTTTCTTTTTTTTTTCGTCGTCATCAATACTATCTTCAACTTTCAAAGTATAATTCATTATGATATTATAGCTTTAAATAATTTTTTTCTTTAAAAATACTAGCTTAAAATATTTAATTAGACTTTTTTAACGTTTTTATAGAAGTTATTAACTCTTAGTTTTTTATTTTTTTTTTTATGAATTTTTTTCTTTTTTCCAAATTTTCCGATTTATTTAATTAAAATAACACTTATGCATTTATATATATAGAATATACATTAAATATTAAAATTGGGAATAAATAAATAAAATTATAGACAAATAAAAAAAACCTAAATTTTTAAAAATACAATATTTTAAGATTTTCTTCCTATTTAAAATATTAATATGCTTTAATAATTTTTGTTCCTTAAAATATATATTCCCCATTATTAAAGAAAATGAATTTATTCACATATATTAAATAATTCTTTCTCTTTTTTTTCCTTGAGAAAACATTGTCAAAATTTTTAATGTTTTTTCGTGAATTAAAAAAATCTTCAAAATAATAAATTGAAAAAAAACAAATAAAAAATAGTAGAGTTATATCTTAATTTTTTTTTATATTTTCTTTTTTTATTTTAATATATCTTTTATATGTATTTTTATATAATTGAAAATGAATGTAAAAGTATTCCTTTTAATAGAATGTGTACTTATAAAAAAATATGTAGCATTGTTTTTATAGCATTTTAATTTGTTTTTATCTTTTTTTTTGTGCTCAAATTAAATAATTCATAATAATTTATTTTTTAAATTAACAGAAAAAAGGTTAAACATACTTATAAATTAAAAAAATAAATATTTTAATATTAAATTTTTACGTAAAAATTTTTTACGTTTTGATAATAAAAAATTTGCATGGCTTTATTCTTGGTTGTTTCATTATAAAACAAACCTCATACACTTTTTTCTATTTCACGCACACACACACAAAAAAAAAAAAAAAAAAAAAAAAAAAAAAGCGATAACAATAAAATAACCTACAAAAAAAAAAAGGAGAAATAAAAAAAAAAAAAAAATTAAAAGAACATAAAAAAAAATTTTAAATATTTTAAAGAAAAAAAAAAATAAATTCATAATTTAGCGCCTTTCTGTATTATAAAAATTTAATTTCTTCCTTTTTAAATTATATGAAAATATATAAAATTTTCTCTAAAAATTTTATCAACGTAATCTTTTTTCTTTTTCTTGTGGTGCAGATAAAAGTAAAATAATGTTCTAATATTTTAAAAAGAATTATGTTTTACTAGATTTCATCCTTTGTTTTCTTTTATAATACATATAATTTTCTTTAACAAAAAAACATACCATATGAATTTTCAAAACTAAAGAAAAAATTAATTTATAAAATTTTAATATAAACTAAAAAAAAATAAATTATTATTTTTCTACAAGAAATTTTCACAATTCAGTATATATATTCATTGTATATTTTTTAAAAAAAAATTTATAGTAGAAACAGTTTCGGAACAACTGTAGATGATTTATTAAAATTTTTTTTTTTTTATAATTTGTTTTTAAATAAATTCTAAAATTTTATTAAAAATTAATTTTCCATTTTTAACATAAATATTTATATTTTTTTGTAAACTTTCTTTTTTTTTTAACCTTTAATATTGAAAAAATTTTTAATCTATAAATGTTTTAACCATATTACATTTCTCCAATTAAAACTTAAACCGCAAAACATAAATATATCATATTTTTCTTTTTTGAAAAAACGTTTGTTTCTTATAATCCATTTTTTTAAATGGATCTATGCACTTTAGAAAAAAATAATAAATCAATTGAAAGTTTATGTAAAGTATTAGAAAAAAATTATAAAACTTTTTATTTGTTAAACCCAGACGGTATTCTTGATTCAGTTGCAGGATTAGAAAATTTATCTATTTCATTTTGTAATATTTCATTTAAAACTATTATATGTTATAAATGTTTAACTTTTTTTGATTGTGAAAGTAATGCAAATTTTAGAAAGTGCCCTAAATGTAAAGTAGTAAATGCAATAGTACCTTATGATAATATAGGCAAAAAAGTAATCATACTTATATGTTTTCATTGCAATAATAGAAATATAACAAATATCGAATGTTCATATGTTCAATGCTATTTATGTAATTATATGAATTATGCACAATATTACAACTCTAATAATAATAATAGAGCAGAAATTAATAACAATAGAGTAACAGGAAGAAGAAGAAAAATAATTAATTTTTTTATGTTTAGAAATATGTGTAAATGTGTAAACCCTCATAGCAGCACTAGAAATAATTCTAGAGAAAATAACATTACTAATGAAGAACAAAACGATAATAGAATAATGGGTAGAGTAAGCGAAAATAATAGAGAGATGAACAATATTAATATAAATAATGTTTTAGATGTAGATAGAGAAGTATACAATAATCAAAGGATGAACAATGTTATTTTCCACAATGAAGAAATACATGGAATTGTAAAAGAGAGTGTAACATATAACGATGAAAATAATGCACATTTTAATAAATTTAATGTAAATAATGCAAATAGCAATACATTACTTACAAATGAGAGATTTAATGAAAATATGGGAAATTTTAATAATAATATCAAAAATAATAAAAAAAACAAGGAGGTACGTAGTAATAAGAAACATTTAGAAAAAATAAATAATATTGAATGTAATGAAAATCTCTTTTTGGATAAAAATAATGATGTTGATATTGTATCAAATGATAATAAAACATATAAATCAAGTTTCAATTTAAGCACGCAAGCTGGATCATGTCCTAGAAACAGTGACATGTGGTATGATGAGCATTTAAATTTATTAGATAATTATCGAGAAAAATTAGGAACTGTTGTAGAAAATGGTAACGTGAAAAGAAAAACTTTAATGTTTAGTAACATGCATGATATCTATAATAAGAAAATTATTAAAAAATTAAGTTTTACTGGAACAAATGGAAAACGAGATAGTGACGTAAAAAGATACATTGAATACTTTAACAAGTTACATTGTAAGAGAGATAGTGATTTAACTGATATGGTTGAAGATGGTGATTATCATAGGTTATTTAATATCCATAAAGAGAATATAGAAAATGAAAATTTTTATAAATATCTAGAATACTACGAAAAGTTTAATATAAAGAATATATCAGATAATTTTTCAAAAAAAAATATGGTAGATAATTTCATAAATGGAAATTTGAATAATAATAAAAATATGAACAGTGAAAAATGTGTTGAAAATTTAAACAATTTTAAATTAAATAATTATAATAATATGGATATACGTAATCTTAATAATTTTTCTTTAAATAATAAAGATACTAAAAGTTATGTAAATAAATATTCATCGAAAGTTAATAATAATAAAAATAGAGAGATAAAATTATACAGTGTAAATCAAAAAAAAGCAGAAAATATCTCACAAAAAGTGAAAAATAAAAATGTGGATTCTCAAAAAATGAGCGCATGTATAGAAGATGAGTCAAATAAAAAAAGTAAATATACTAATGGAAATAATGGTCTTAAATCAAAAAATAAAGTTAATAAATCACCTCATAAAAAAAAAAAAAATAAATATGAAAATAAAAATGAAGATAAATATATTTTCTACTCTAAATCTGAATTATGCAGTGAATTTCGTTAATAATAAAAAAATATAAATATATGTTTTAAATACATATAATTAAACATAGATCATCTATTGATTATTTTTTAACGTCACTAAGTTAAAACCTAGAAAATTCTTATTAATAAACAAATAATAAAAATAGGAAATCTTATGAAATTAAGAAAAATCCTTTTAGTAATTCAAAAAAATTATTGTATATTTTTATTACAGAAGCAGAATATAAAAAAAACATAAAATAATTATTTTTTTTATAATTAATTTTAGTATTCTCTTATTAGAAACAGCCTAGATTTTCATAAAACATTACCTTTAAATGTTTAATGATAAAACTGTTTCTAATATCAATGATACATATAATTTTATTATTTCCTTTAAATCTCGTCAAAATATATAAAAGTCTGTTGCATATATGTATATAGTATGAATTACACAAAATTTGTTTATTCATTTATTAAAATAAAAAAAAAAATATATTTATACGTTATCAAGATGCATGGTATAGTATTTAATTGTATGTAAAATTTTCAAAAAAATGTATATTTTTTTGCCATAAATTGTATATATTTCTTGGCTCCTGTTGCATCATAGAATTCTACATTTTCATCTTTTTAATGTTTTCATACTGTAATAAAACTTTTTTTTTTAATTCGAATTGTTAATATATTATTATTTAGACAATTTTTTTTATTATTCATTTAGTTTTAAATTGTAAATTAATTTTTTTAGTTATTTTATTATAAATTTTACAATAATTTAGATATATGTACATATATGTCCTTTTCAAATTAAATTTTAAGTTAAATTTTAATCATATGTAAGTAAATAAAATTTTATTCTATCAATTTTTAATTTTCTTTAAAAAATTTTTTATTTATTTTCTTATACATATAAGAAATTAGTTTATGGAATTTTTTGATTATTAAAAGTTCTTTTTCCTTTTATTTTTTATATGTGGAATCAATTGTAAATTTATGAAATTGAAATTTTCTTTTTTTTTTATTTTAATATTTTATTTTTTTAAAAAAGACAAAAAAAATAGATAATATGAAAATTATAGAACATAAATTTTTGAATCTAATTATATTTAAATAAAAAAAAAAAAAAAAAAAAAAAAAAAAAAATTTAAACACATTATTTTTAATTGTTCGAAAATTTTATTCTTAATAATTCTAATTAAAATGGAAAAAAAAAAAAAAAACAAATATTTAGAGTGAATCGAATTTTATTTTTGTTTAAAATTATTATAAACATTAAAAAAAAAAAGAAAATGAAAAAAGACAAAAATATTTATAAATATAATCATAAAATAAAAAGTGTATAAAAAAAATAATTCAAATATTTAAAAATAGAAGCTTATAAAGTTTTTAATCTTTTTCAATAGGGTATGACAATTTGCTAAAAACGCTTGTTAACTGAAGCCCCTGTGGGTGACTGAGATATTCTCCTGTTTCTCCATTAAAAATTGCTATAGTTTGATTACTTAACAAATGACCTAAATTATCACTAGGACAATTCGACGCTAACAATATTTTTAAATTAGATGCTTGCTGAAATGTGAAGGAAGATACTTCCTTGTTCTTACTTGTACATTTTAATTTCGCATAATGATTAGATCTACCTTTTTCTGGTTTATTTAATCTAGTGTCAAAAGAAAATTCATATTTTAGCAATTGACTATGAAAGAGTAAATAAATATCAACATCTGATTCGCTGCTCTTTATTGCAGTAATATTAAAGTCTTTTCCGTATTCCAACCTTTTTATACATTTTGGTCCATCAACTTTCACGTGTACATGTATATTTGGAGGAATGGAAACAATTGCTACCGTATCAACTTTCTTTCCAATTAACTTTAATCCTGGTGAAGGTAATTTCATTTCTAATTCTTTTGGTACAATAATATGACCCCATTTGAATAAATGAACAAAAAATCCCCATTCTCCACCTTCATGTACAATAGGTGGAACTTTCTCGCATTTCTTCAATTCACTCAAGGCAAAATCACCATAAGCAATAGCTAAATCTGTGTGTGGATTAACACATAAAAAACCATTATTAAAATCTATTGATTTAACCGTTATATTTTTCTTTTCGTTTATACTTATTATTACCGCTGTTTCTGTATTTATACGTATCATTGTAACGTTTTCATTAATCAAATTTACAATAATTTTCCAATTTTTCAAAAATGTTGGAAATCTTACTGGATGATTGTAATTTATCTTTTCTGTCAATCCTGGAAGACTAATATGAACGTCCTTTTCACCTTCAATAACTACATTACAATCATCTTTACCCCAAGCTTTTGCATCATACTTTCCACATAGAACTAACTCAAATTCTGAAGGTACTTTCTGTAATTGCGGTAAAAACTTAATTCTTTTGTCATCAAAGACAGTAGGTCTCAAAGATAATTCTTCATGATTTGATAACGAATACCATCCTTTTTCATCAGAATATTGAAATTCATTCCAAATAACGGCATTCTCAGGTATTTTTGCACTTGGAGGAGGGGCTTTGAAAGTACATTCTATAACATTTGTCATATTTGTATACTTAAAAAGAAATAAACAATACACAAAATATATTAAAAATAAAAGATGTATGAATATAAATATATATAAGAAAAACGGTAAAATTATGAATAAATAAAAAAGACAAAAAAAGTATTTAATATATTAAAAAGAAATATGAATGCTTTAAAATATTGAACCTCTTTAAGAAATGAGAAAAGTGAGAATTAAAAATATTAATGACAATAAATAAATAAAATAGTGTCTGGCAAATTAAATATTAAACAATTAAAAATTATAACGAAACGTACAATCTCAAATTTTTTAATTTCTTGTAACATTAAATTTATTTGTATACGTATAATTTTATAGAGAAAAAAGTTTTTTATAGTTTTAACAGAAATTAAACATGTTAAAAATATCATAGTTCTTAGCTGTCATTTTTGGGTGAAAATGCAGCTACCAACGAAACTTATGAAGTCTTTTTTTTCATCTTAAAAATGTAGCTTGTAGAATAACTACATTTTTTTTTTTATTTTTTTTTATGTGTGCATTTTTTTTAATTCTTTTTTATGAACTTCAGAAGGCGCGTGTTCATTTTTTTTTTTTTTTATTCATAAAAAAATAAATTTTTAAGGAAAGTCTTCGAGATTTATAAATATATGATTTTTAATATAATTTATTGAAATATATCATATTATAATCTCTATAATTCACTTAAGGTCTTTTTAAAGAAAATATACTTTTTTTGCTCTGGTAAGCATAAATATTTTAAAATAAGTTTTATTCCTTAAAAATTTATTAGGGACTTTTATGTTTACTTGTACATATTGAGGAATTGTATTTTTATATTAAAACATAAATACGGATTAATTTCCTTTAATCTTATTATAGTTTATAAAAATTTCCTTTATTTTATTATATCCTCTTTATGTTGTAAGAATTAATCTAACATTAAAGAAAATTTTTCTTTTAGTTAACAATACAGAAAAAATAAAAAAAAAGTTCTTAACAATATGATATTTAAAAATAAAAACTTAAAAAGTACAATAAATGGAAATATTTTTTATTCCAATTCATAATATTTATAGGAATAAGTTTATATTTATATTAACATAATTGTTATTATGTCATATAATTTCCTTTTTAATAATCTTAAGCTACAGGTTTTTTAAATATAAGCATTTTATGGTTATATTTTTCATATATATTTTTAATCATTTCATAAGATCATATTTAAGACTCTTCATAAAAATAAAGAATTATTTTTACTCTACATTTTTATTAAAATAGAAAAATTCGTAGCATTATTTTTCTTTTTTTACTACTAAATAATTTTAAAAATAACAGTATATTTAAACAATTAAATCCATTTTATCTCAGAAATATTTGTGTGCATTTATTTTATTTCTTTTTATGTATTTTTAAATTATCATCATTTATGCATAAAATTATACATATAAAATAATAAACAATAGCGAAAATAAATATATAGCTAAAAAATAATGCTTTTTATAAAAATATAAAACATTGTTATATTAACAGCAGCAAACATTAATAGAGGTTTTCTATAATTAAAACATTCTAAACTTTTTTAAATTTATAAAATAAAATTTTTTCCTAATTTTTTATTTCTTTTTGTAATTTAGAAGAATATTAATTGCTAATTAAATAATTTTATCTATTATGTTGTAAAAAAATTATATATTTGCACACAAACAAATGTTCAATATATTTACTTAGAATTATTATTTTTTTTTTAATGATTTATATGTTAAGAAAAAAAATATACATATAAATTTTTTTAAATAAAATTTTTTAAATGTAATATTTTTCATTACTTTCAGACGAAGGTTATTAGCAAATGTCATATAGTTTGTGTAATTTTAAAACTTTCTAACAGCTAATAATTATAAAAAGAGAAAACTAAGCTAATAATATATGGAAATTTTTTCATGTTTCTATTATTTTATTTTTTTTTTGATTTTGAGTATATACTATGTTTTTACATATATAATTTAATTTCTATATAATTAATCTTTATTACCCTTTTTTTTTTATACGAAAAAAAAAGAAAACTTTTGTAAATAAAAAGTAAGTGCATATAATCCTAATTTTTTTTCAATTTTTTTTTTTTTAAATTAATTCTAAATTTTATGAAATTTTAAAAGACAAAAAAATGAATTATGCAGCTAAAAAAGGGAAAATACATTTTAATGGATTTGTTAAATACTCAAAAAAAAAAAAGAGGCCAAGTAATAGTATAGATTATAAAAGAAATATAATAAAGAAGGAAAATGTAAACAATATAAAAGAAGAAAATGTTTTATGCAAAATGAAAAAAGAAAACATAGAAATCAATGATCAAGTAGAAAAAAGAGATGAAAGTCCCATAACTTTATACTTTAACAACAAAGAAAATTATATAAGAAATGATTTACCAGAAGGGATGTTAGAAAAAAGCTCTGATACTGAATATAAAGACATGGACAATTATATTATTGAAAGAATTAGAAATTCTTCTGAATTTACTAATAATAATGCTTCATTAGATGATAAAAATAGTGATAAATCACAAACTCTTTCAATTAAATTAAAAAAGGAAAAGAAAAAAAATAACTTATCATGTTCAAAAGATCCCTCACGAAAAAAAAAGTGCACCTTAAAGAAAAATGATTTAGATAATAAAACATTACTGATAAATAATAGTTTCAGTAATCCATCCTATTTACCCAACTATGATAATTATGGTATTCAAGGGCCTTATTATCAAACAGTTTATAGAAGAAATAAAAACAAATTAAAAATAGAAAAATATAAAAAAAAATATGAATTGCCTACTATAGCTTCATTAGGAAAAGTAAAAAAATTAGAAAATTTAGACTTAAAAATTAACGCAAATCTATTTAATGAAAAATCTAAAATTATTCTAAATAACTTATCTGCATATTTTGGGAATAAGGTTAATCATGATGATATTGAATCAAGTAACAATTTTAAAAAAAAAAAAAAAAATTATATAAAATAAATAAAGAGTAAGATATTCATTAAATATCAAAATATTTCACAGTTGTGTCTTCTTTTTTTTTTATGTATATATATATATATTTATATATATACATATAAGTATAAATACATAAAAATATAAATGAACACATTTATTTCCATATAATTTATATAAGAAAATTAAGACAATTAATAAGGTAGTTTAATATAAAATGAGTATATATAAATATGAATATTAATTTAATAATGAAAATTTTTGTCGTAAAAAATTTGACAACTAATAATATAAAAATGACATTAAGTGTATAAATAAAAATTAAAGTAAAATGAGCGTTAAAAATTCATTAATAATTTTAATTTTAAATAAAACAATTTTAAAATTGTTAATATTATTTTTAATAGAAAACTTATGAATAAAATTTATTTAAAAAGAACATTTATTTTTTAAAAAAAAATTAACCTCCTCCTTAAATAATTTTATACAGAATATGTAAAAAATAAAAAACATTCTTCCATGTTTAATGAATTAAGCTCAAGTTTAATTAGTAAAAAAGAAAAATCTAAGCTCATAAGATTAGACGATCCTTTAGATAAAGAAAAAGAAAAATGTTCCTTTTGTAATTTAAAAAAAAAGAAATTAATAAAATTATTAAGATGTAAAAGTTGTGATGATATCTATTATAAAGGTGAATTCAATAAAAATAAAAATAGTTTGGTAAATTAAATATAACAAACTAGAGAATTTAGAAAATAATAAAAAAAAAATTTTAATCTTTTGCTTTTTTATAGATAGAAATAAAATAAAAAAAGAATTATTCTCCATAGGAAATTTTAAAAATATAAAAGAAAAAGAAAAGTTCTTTCACTTTGTAAATAAAATAAAGCTAAGAAAAAAAGACTTTTACAAAATTAAATTACATAATTTAAAGAACCTGAAAAAAAAGAAAGGCATTACAGATCATAAGAAAGATTTTATATTAAAAAAAAGTTTTAATTCAAAAAAAAATTATAAAAATGTAAAACCAAAAAAAACTAAAAAGAAACCTACAGATAAATCATTCTATAAAGATCTCATAAAAAATAATCATTTTATTAAAATAAATAATAAAAACCTTAAATATATAAAAGAAAAATTAATTTCTATTAAAAATAAAAATATGTTTACTAGGTTGTACAAAGGATCAAATAAATTAAAAAATATAAATAGAAAAAGAAATGTTAAAGGTATTTATCACAGAAAAAAAACAATTAATAAAATGGATTTGTCTTCTTTTAAAAATGTAACGAAATCATATAGAAACATAAAAAAATTAAAAGTGAATAAAATAAATAACAAAAAATATTTATTATTTAATAAAAATAATTTTTTTAATAATAGAAAAGATCAAAATGTATATCCTTACAAAAATTTTAAAAAAGCATCTTACCTCACTAAAGAAAAAACATTTTCACATATTTCTTATAAAAAAGAAAGATACATAAAATCTATGCATGAATCTTCACTGAAAAATAAAAATTTTTTTTTTCTTTTTAAACATCTAAAGGTTAATGAAAAAAAAAAAAAGAAAACGTTTTCTATGATGAAAGATGGTCATTCAAATCCTAAAATGGATTACAAAAGTGTTCAACATGAAAATAATAAAAAAGATACAAACTGTAAAAAATTAAATATAATTAGACATGTAGAAAAAAAATTTAGAAATAAGACATCTATTTTATCAAGTCAAAATAAGTTACATGAAATTATAAAAAAAAAATATGATTACAACAATAGAGATAAAAAAAAATTATATGATATTTCAAAAATATATATTACAAAGAATTTACTTTATCAACGTAATTTAGTAAAATTTACAGATGGTAAAGTGTCAAATAGTTCATTCGTTAAGAATGGCATAAATAAAAAATCGGATAAAACTATATATCTTGAAATAAAAAACAAAAAGATAATACTTAAAACATCTGTTAGAAATACATCTTTTAGTAAATTAGGAAAAAGTAATATATTTAATCAATTAGATGAAAAATTGAAAAATAAAAAATTGTACTTTTCAAAAAATAAAAATGAAAATAAAAATGAAATTTTTCCATATACTAATGAAAATAACCTAATACAAACTCAAAAAGGAGAGAAAGAAAAAGAATTTGATAATAAAAAATCTCTAGAAAAAAAATACTTAATTAAAAAATACGAAATGAAAAATGATAATTTTTTCAATATTCGAAAGAATATTTTTAATTTAAAAAACTATAACATAAAAGACAGAAAGGATAATGAAAAGTTATACATTGATAGAATTAAAAAAAATTATATTTTAAATAAGAAAATGCATGATAAAAAGTTATGTGAGAAATTCAAGGATAATATATCGGAAAAGAGAAATATATATAGTAATACTTATGAAAGAAACATTTTAAATAATAAATACTCTGAATGTTGTATAGAAAAAACAAGCAATCATTTAAAACATTACAATTTTATAAAACTAAAAAATTTATCGAAATTAAAAAATAAAAATAAGGGAAAATATAATATCGATAAAAAAGAAAAAAATAAGCATATGAACAGATTGATAAGAAAATATATGAAAGAAATAAATAAAAAAGGTAAAATAAAAAAAGAATTCGATAATTTAATTCAAACATATAAAAATTTAGATAGAAAAAAAATATATGGAAAAGGTGAAAAGAAAGAAATTATAGAAGATGAAATAGAGGTGACACAAAATTGTTTAATTAAAGGAGCTTATTCATCCTTTAGAAAAAAGGAGAATATATATAATATTCCCTTCACACACAAAAATGAAACAAACAAAAAAATAATAATAGAGAAAAATAAAATGATTATTAATAAAATTAAAATGGATAAAAAAAATAAAATGATTAGCAATGTTATAATTAATAATAGAATAAATGAAAAATTACAAATTCATAAAAAAGATATATTTGAAAAATTCCCTATGATAAATATGAATACATTTGAAAATAAAAAAGATGTCCAAAAAAATAATCAAAAAGAAATAGAAAAAAAATATGTATATAAAAATAACACAATAAAAATATATAAAGAAGGAATAAAAAATAAAAATATATTCAACTATTTAGGCGATAAATTTACTCTAAAAAAAGATGTTGATGTTCATTCTGATGAAAAATTTAACAGTAAAATACTTATGAAAATAAATGATGAAAATAATAAAAAATATACTATACCAATTACAACTGCTAAAAAAAGTAGTATTATAAATAAAGAAATAAGTGATTATGAGGAAAAAAAAAGAGTATTTAATGAATATGAACAAAAAAAAGAAATAAAAAGAAAAAAAAAGAACAAAGAAGAAAAAAAGGTAAATGAAAAAAAAGTAGAACAAAAACTTAAATATGTGCATAAGAATCAAAAAGATGAAAATAAGAACGAAAAAATATTAAAATACACAGTAGAAAATAGTGAGTTAAATAAAAATAATCACTCAATACAAGATAAGAATAAAAAAAAAAGCGAAACAAAATTATCAAATGAATACCAACCTAACAAAAAAATGAATGAACGTGAAATTAAATTAAAAAGTAACTATAACAAAAATGAAAAAATTGAAAGTGAAGATAAATTAGCATTATTAAATGCATACAAAAATAAAGGCATATATAATTCTTATGACAAAGATATATATGAGTTACATGTGAATTCATATGAAAATATAGATGGTAATAATGATATAATTGTGAATGATACTGAAAAAAAAAAAAAAAAAGGAATAGAAATATACTTTGGTTTTAATAAAGAAGTAATTAGGGAAAGAAGACAAGAAAAAGAAAACATTATCAATATGAATATAGAAGCAAAAGAGAGCTTTAATGAAAAAATTAAAGAAGTTCATATTGTAAAAAAAAACGTTTTTACATTAATCAAAAAAAAACAGATAAATATTGAAAAATTATTAGACGAAGATACAAGCAAAAAAAATCAAATCAAATCAAAAGAAAAGAATTTTAATATTAATTCAAATGAGAGGAAGCAAAATCAGTGTGACAAATATAACAAAAATAGATATAACACATTGAAAAAAGATAAATTCAATTTTATAAAAACTTATATAATGCCAATTGGAAAATGTATCAATCACTATAAAAATATTTCATTTGAAAAAAATAATAGTATAAATAATTTGAAAAATAATTTTCATATCTTGAAAAGTGTAAGAAAAACAAATATGGAGTTCAATATTAAAAATAATGAGCAATTGAGTGAATGCATATATAATAAAATATTCATTCAACATAATTTAAAAAAAAACAATAATTGTATGAAAGATGGAAAACACATCAAAAATATTAATTTAAAGAATAAAATAAAAACATATATTACAGTTGTAAATAGAAATAAAAGTGTTCCTTTGTTAAAAATAAATGTTTTCTCAAAAAATTGGAAAAATAAAAAAATAACAAATACAATGAAAAAAGATATATCAAAAATTAAAAATAAGAAATGTTTTCACTTTCTATGTACAAATACCTTAAATAAGAATAAAAAGGATAATTTTAGATTAATAGAATTAAGCAAATATTTCAGTAATTTAAAAAACTTTGGCTTTAAATTAAACGAAAGTTTACCTATTTTAAATGAAGAAAAGAAGTCGTTTTACCTAACTAAAGATATTCAAAAATTTAATATAATAAAAACAAACAGACGAAATAAAGAGAAATTTCATGCAACCAAATTAACAACAATAAAATCGAATATTATAGATGATTTTACAAATATAAACTTAAAAAATTATTATTTACTTAAAAAAAAAAATAATGTTCCTTATTACAGTAAATCATTAATAATAAAAAAAAATAAATATTGGAATGAAGAAAATAATAACCTTAAAAAAACAAAAAGTTTTGCATATTTTAAAAGGAATCTAAGAGTTAGTAAAATTTTTACAAAAGGAAGTAATAATATTAAGAAATGTGGAAGTATTAAAACTTTAAAAAATAATATTCTCAGTACAAATAAAAGTTATACCAAACATTGCAAATATGTAAATAATTTTTTAGAAGAAAATAATTATGAAATAGAAAATATAGATGTAAAAAATATTTGTGATATTAACCAAAAGTTAGTAAAATTAAAAGATTCTAATAAATCCAAATTATATGAAATTAGAAGAACTAATGATTTAAGAGATATAAAAAAAAAATTACCAAAAAAAAATATTTTAAATTATTATTTTAACCATTTTTCTTCAATAAGTAATAAAATGTTATTTAATGGAAATAAAGTTTCATTAAATAATCAAATTCGTTTGCCAATGTATTCTAGTTTCAGTCCCTATTGCCGTAGAATTGTTTATCACAAAAAAAATAGAGTTTGTCGTACCTTGTCATTCAATATGTGTTTATCTAAACTTCGTAATACATTAAAAAAAAAAAAAGATAATTTTACAAGTTCCCATAATAGAACAATCATACAGGGGGTTCCCAGAGTAAAAAATATGAAAAAATTTAGTTCAATCAAAGTTAAAAGAAATTTTACTTTCGATTGTTGTTGTAAAAATTATTATGAATCTACAAATAGCAAATCAAGTGAACAAAAATTTTAGATGAATGCAAATAATAACTTTGAAGAACAAGTGTCTGTTGTGAAAAAAAAAAAAAATATATACATTTAATAAATAACTTTTTAAAAAAAATTTAATATTAATTGCATATGTATACGAAGATAAAACTAATGTACATAAAAAAAAATATAAAATTGTAACAAATTTGAATATTTAGTAATGATTAATACGGATAATAACGAAAAACAAATTTCAACAATAAAAATGTTAAAAATCCAGACAGTAGAAACATTGATACAAAAGTATAGTTTTAAAAAGAAACAATTATTATAACAAAAAAAAAAAAATCTTATTCCCTTAAGTTTTTTATTTTATATATATATATATATATCATTTAATAGTTTAGTTTCTTTCTTTTTTTCTTTTTTATACTTTTATATATTATTTATGTGCTATTTTTTATTTAATATAATAATTCAGTTATTTATATTTTAATTAAATTATATATATACCATAATATATTGTACTTTTTTTTTTTTTTTTTTCATGTGTTATTTATATAAATTTTTTAATATATCACCAGACATTTATTCCATAAATTTCTCATAAATATGATATTTCAGTTTTTTTCATATTTTATTTATTTTTTATTGTTTTATATCTCTTAATTATTATTTTTTGTTTTTGAAGCTATGTTTTATTTTTTATATATATATTTTCCTCTTCTTTTCAAGTTTTTCATCTATAATCATAGCTAATATAAAAATTAATTTTCAACATAAAATTAAATTCACGAATATTTCTAAATATATAACTCAAATTTTGGTATGAGCATTTATAAATGAAAAAAAAAAAAAAATATAGGAATAATAATAATATTAATAATTTTTAATTACTATTTTTTACAAATATAAAAAAATTTCACTTATAACTTTACATAATTTTTTTTGTTTATGAAAATTAAATGAAATAATATAACGTCATATGTGTATATGTAATAAAAATTTTTTTACATTAATTGAGGCATTGAGTGAAAAAACAGGTAAAGTAAATTAATAAAATAAACAAGAAAAATAATTATTTTTATGTATTTTATACCATTTTATCTTTTATCATTCTTTTTGTAAGTTTTTTTTTTTATGCCTTAAAGGTCTAATATACAAAATTTATAAAATTGCTAGCATTTTTTTAATTATTAAGCACTTTGTATAAAAAAAAAAAAAAGAGAAAAAACATTTTATCTTTCATATTTATTCCATTTTTTTATTTCCATTTAAAAATTATAAAAAAAAATTGTGTGACTTTATATTTAACTAAATTTTAATTATTGAATATTTGTGAAATTTTTTTATTTTCTATTTCAATTTTATAAATAAAATAAAATTTAAAATAATAAACTACAAAAAATAACATATCTTTGCTTAAATTTATTGCAAAAAAAAATATAATAATAAGAGAACTTTTTCGAAAAGTAAAGAAAAACAAAAAAGTTTATGAGTATATAATTTAAAAAAAAATAAAGACAAAATGGTTATCACATTACCAAAATTAAAATATGCGTTAAATGCTTTATCACCCCACATAAGTGAAGAAACATTAAGTTTTCATTATAATAAACATCATGCAGGATATGTAAATAAATTAAATACATTAATAAAGGATACTAATTATGCCAATAAATCATTAATAGATATTTTAAAAGAATCAACGGGAGCAATTTTTAATAATGCATCTCAAGCATGGAACCATGCATTTTATTGGGATTCTATGGGACCAAATTGTGGGGGAGAACCACATGGAGAAATTAAAGAAAAAATTGAAACAGATTTTGGATCATTCAGCAACTTTAAAAATGAATTTTCAAATGTTTTGTGTGGCCATTTTGGTTCAGGCTGGGGTTGGCTAGCTTTAAATAATAAAAATAAATTGGTAATTTTACAAACCCATGATGCAGGAAATCCAATAAAAGATAACACTGGTATTCCTATATTAACTTGTGATATATGGGAACATGCTTATTATATTGACTATAGAAATGATAGAGCATCTTATGTAAAAGCATGGTGGAATTTAGTAAATTGGAATTTTGCCAATGAAAATTTAAGAAATGCTATGAACAAATAATATTTATGCATTATTTTTTTTCCAATTTTTCTTTCTTTTTTTTTTTTTTTTTTTTTTTTTGCCTTTTTAGCTTTGTTATCTTTTAAATTTTGCGATTAATGTTCTGCTATATTTTTTATTGCTGTGATTTTTCAAAGCATTTAATAAAACAGTATTTTTAAAAATTATTTTTAAGAGTTTTAAAAGAATAAAAGTTTTCAAAAAAAAAAAAAAAAAAAATTTTTAAGTTTTAAATTAAAATATTTTTAGTTAAAAATTAAAAAGAAAAAAAGAATGTTGATAATTTTTATATTAAACTTTATAAATATGAATTATTATAAATATATGAACTTGTCCGATTTATTCCTTCCTATATAAAGGATTTTGGAATAATTCTTCATTCGTTCATTTTATTGAACTTTTTATTATGATGATAATGCTAAATTGAAATTTTTAAGGATATAAAACATGAAAAACAATTCATATTTACTTTTTATTTTTTTTTTTTTTTTAAATAAAAAATAAATGAAACAAGAATTTCTATACACATAATATAAAAAATCATATATTTACAAAACTTCTTAAACTGTAATATATGTTCATTCTTTCTTATATACCTGTGAGTTAAAACTTTATGTATATATTTAATTTGTTATATTTTTTTTTTATTTAATTCTAAATTTAAGTGATTTTAAAAAGGGGATGGTTATAAACTTCATTTTAAATTTATCTTTTTTTAGTAGTCTTTTTGAATTGATAAAATTAAACTTGCTAAGTTTGGTGTTTCTTTTATATAATACTTTAATATTATTATCTATTCCATCAAAAATATCATAGGTTATATATGCTGCAATATTTTTTATTACATCTATATAAAATGAGCTTGCCTTTTTACCATTTTCATTACTTTTGATATATGTTACAAATTTTACATTACTTTTATCTTTTTGTATTTTTATTTCAATTATATAATTAGAGTAATTCTTGTATAATGGAATAAAAATTAATGTATACATATCATTATCATTTTTCAATATTTTGTATTTTAAAGGAAGATGTAACCAAAAATATTTTTTTAGCTTCCCATGAAAAATAAAAATTTGTTCATGTTTTAATACCTTTACATGACTAAAAATGTTTTCAAAATTTTCAAATTCTCTGTATTTTAAAAATTTGTAAAATTTTTCATTCTTTATTTTTTCAGGTAAATAATTTGAAAAGTTTATCAAATTATTCATTATATACATTTCCATAATTTTTGAGTCATTAACATTGGTAAAATATTTTTCAAATATTTTCTGTTCTGTAAATTTGTCCATTTTTATTTCATAATTTTTCTTTATAATTTTAAAAACATTTTTAAAATATTTGTTTGATGGAATAAAAAAGGAATAATGTGGATTTTTTTTAAAGGTAACACCGGAATTATACAATGAATTAATCGAATATGCTGATAACAACGATCCTATTATAATTTTTTTAATTGTTTTTTTGTTATTTACAGAGTAGTTGCATATATCCTTAAAAATATCAATTAATTTAGCTAAATAATCATCATTTTCATTTGGTAATCTTATATGTAACTTCCTAGATCACCCAGATTCCACAATTATGGATGTGATATTATACAAAATAATAACAATTAATATATATATTTTTTTTAACATCATTTTTACTTATTTTTCCTTATCTTAAATGATTAAAAAATTATATAAATAATATGTATTTTCATTTATTAAATAAAATATGTATTTTCTCAAATACTAATATTTATATAAATGCATAGAAACTTCTTAAACTTGTAAAAAATAAAAAATAAGAAATTTAACTAGAAAAATAATACTTGAAAATAATTGTATTTAATTTATATTTTTTTTTTTTTAATTACTTTTTTTTATTTTTTAAAATACAATTATGTTAAATTTTTTTTTAAAAATTTTTTTTTTTATTTTTTATAAACATGTAAGAACGTTTTACATTTAGATATTTATCGTTATCTCATTTTTTTTTTTTTTTTTTTTTCTACAATAAATATCTACATCTTTTTCATATCTGTTAATAATTATATTCCTGCTTTTGTTTATTCTAAATAATATTATTTTATAGGTTTTTTAATTGACGTTTGTGTAAGTTTTTATTATATCAATGTAATTTTTTTTTCTTTTAATTCTCTACATAATCTTTTTTCTTATCTATTATAAGATGTAATTTTTAATTTTATAAAAAATATTAAAAAAAAATTTAATTAATATTATAAAAGAGATTAGATACATTTTATATTAATTTATAAAATTTAATAACATTTGTTTGCTTTTATAAAAATTTGGTTTTACAATACCAAAAACATCTAATCTTTTAATTGTTTTTTGTTTTTCTTTAGTAATTTTATTAATTTTCAAGATATAGGAATTAGATGAGATTGGGAAAATTGAAAATTAATAATACATTAAGAACAAAATTATTAATAAATAATAGAAATGATGTATTCACAAAATATTTTATTTGTAGTTATAATACTTATACTATTAAGATCAACTATTTAAACAAAACTTACTTTAATTTATATGAAAAGAGATTTATAAGAGTTGGAAAATATGCTGATCAAATAAATTATGAAAACACTTTAAAGTATAAAAACAAAAGCACTCAAAATGAAAAACATAAAAGTGATGAAAAACAAATAAATATTTTTGAGGTGTTAAATTCTGATGATCTTCAAATATCGCAACCTAAAAAATATAAAAAAAAAATGGAACGTGATGATAACAAAAAAAAAGAGAGTGAAGTTGATTTAAATTTAAATAACAGCATACATGATAAAAGAAAAATGAAAATTAGTGAAAAAAATATAAATATTATTAGAGAATCAGTAAAAAACCAAAAAGATAGATTTAAAAAGAGATATGAAAAACAAATAATTCACAAATTAATGAGTAGTACTAATATAAAAAGTATAAGGCAAATAACAAAAAATAAAGAGAAAAAATATAATAATTGTATTTCAAGAAAACTTTTAAGAAAATGCATATTTTTAAATAATTACGCAATTACAAATAGTTATATAAATAAAAAATATTATATAATAGTAAAAAAAAATTTACAGGAAAATGATTTTAACATGTCTGAAATAAAGTCTATGGAACTTTTAGATGAAGTAAAAAAAATAAATGAAAGGAAAGGTGAAAAAGATGAAATTCAAAATGAAGTAAAAGAATTTCAAATAGATTCTGTTAATTATGAAAATAAAAATAAAATTATTAAAAAGATATATAAAGCATCAATTAATCATGTAAGAGATGAGAATTTATGGAAAAAATATGTTCAAAATACCTTTATTATATCTGTATATTTGGATGCAAGTGATATAGTAATTTTGTTTTGGTGTTTCAGTAAAATTGGTTATAGAGATAATAGGCTTATAAACTTATTATGCTCAATTATATTAAAAAAAATAAATGAATTAAATGCTTGCGCTTTAGCATTATTATTAAATAGCTTTAAAAAATTAGAAATAAAGAAATATGATACTATTGAATTATTAACAAATCAATTTTGTTTTCATACAAAAAAATGGACATCTCAAGACATAGCATTAGTCTCTAATGCTTTAGCATTTTTTTATATTTATCATAAAACATTTTGGAAAAAATGCATATTAAAATTGCAACATAATTATTATTATTCATATCCTTTACATTTATGTCTTGTTATATCTTCTTTTGCTCGGTTGGATATTAGAGAAGGCAATATATTGTTGTGTATGAGCAAATGTGCAAAAAAGTTTGCAAAAGATTTTTCTCCAAATAATTTATCATTAGTAATTCATTCATTTGCAAAATTAAAGTTTTATCATCCAAAATTTTATAATTATATGTATCAGTATGTTCATAAGCATTTAGATAAACAATTACTCATAAATAAACATAATGATAAAGTTTTGTCAATTAACCCTTCTAAGATATCAAAAGAAAAAGTGAATGGAAAAAATGAAATTTTATCTTTTGAACAAGATAAAGATTTTAATAATCTTAACATAAATAGTATCTCAGGAAAAAATAAAAACACAAAAGAAAAATTATTTCCTAATGAGAATTCTAGTAATAATAATTTAGTCAATGATTATATGCATGTTGATTGTGTAAATGATCAACATAAAAATAATGATAGAATATTTGAAGAAAAAAACATAACTATTTCTAGTAATGACCAAGAGAAGGATGAAAATTATGATGAAGAATGTGAAGAAAATATAAACAATGTTTTGAGTGATAACCTATCGAAATCTGTTAAAAAAAATACTTTTTTTGATTTACAATCTTTAGTGTTGTTACTTTTTTCTTGTGTTTGCTTAATTAACTGCACTGAACAGATGATATTAAAAATAACTTATTTAATAATTCCATATAAAGATTATTTAGGAGATCATAAAGTAGACAAATTAAAATATGTAAGTGATTATTTACAATATGTTTTCCCTTCTATATTTGAAAAATTTCCAAAAGAAATAAAAGATTTTTATAAATTTATTGACAATTATGAAATTAAAAGGAAAAAATTAAAATATAGTGCAAGATGGATTAATGAATTATCAAGAATTTTAATGAAAATTAACGTAAATCATTTGAAGAATGTTTACATTAATAATATATGTGCAGATATAATGTTAACAGATTCTAATGTTATAATTAAGTGTTTTGGACCATATAGCTATTACGTAAATTCATTAGTTAGTACATCAATATCTGATTTGAAAATGAAGATTTTAGAAAATAAAAAATATAAAGTTATTACATTAAGTTATCATGATTGGAACAATTTAAATGATTATGAAGAAAAAATTAATTTTTTGTATGCTTTTGGTAGAAACGCTGCTAATTATTTTTTTTTTAATTCTAGAAAAGAAAGCTTAAGTATGAACAATACTAATAGAACTATCAACACAGATAATACTTTATTAAAAGAAAAAATTGAAAATGAGCAAAAAGACAAAAAAGAAAATTTCACTGAATGCAAGAATTATACTGATAACTCATTAGAAGGTGTTGAAAATGAAAATTATTTTTCTGATGAAGAAAATGAAATAATTAATTTTATAAAAAATAGATCAGAAAATGAAGGAAATATAAATATGGATGAAGAAATAACAAGTATTAAAAATTTATTAACAGATGTAAAAAAATAAAAGAATGTTTTATTATTATTTATATATTTTTATCATAAATGTTATTATATGTTATATATATATATTGCATAAAAAACAATTGTTTTAATTTAGATTTGTATATATCCTAACTTATCTTTTATATTTACATAAATGCTAATAAATTTAATGTACTAAAAAATATGGAAACTTTTTTATTTAATTTTATTTTATTTATTTTTTTCGTTTCAATTTAAAAGAAGAGAATTAATAAAATATTAGTAAATATTAAACTCATTTTACTCTTCTTTTTTTTTTTTTTAAGTTTACTTAAATATTATTATATAAAATATACTTTTTTATTTTATTCTTTTTTAATCTCTAAAGTATTTTATATTACAACTTTTTATTCTTTTCTTTCATATTTTTGTAATAATTTATTAATATTCTAAAATAGGTTGTAACGACAGTTATTTAGAAAAATATATTAAATTTTAATTTTCTTTTTATTTTGTTATTTTTTTTTTTTTCTATTTTTCCCTGTTATGTTTTTTTTTTAATAATACCCAGAATACTATGTTACGGTTAAGTAAATTCTAATATCCTGATTTTATTTTAAAATGTAATTTTTAATTACTAAACGAAGAATATTGAACGATATATTTTCATCTATTAAAATTTTCACATTTAAAAAATATTTCTACAATAACTTCATAAAAAATGTAATACTTAAATATATGATTACATCATTATTCAGGGTAATTAAAAGTAATGATTCAAAAAATAAAAAAGTACAAAAAAGTAAAATGTTATTAATGTTACATATTTTAAAGCTTTATATATAAAAGAAAAAAAAAAGGCATTATATGGAATACTTTTTGTATAAATAATTTTTTTAGCTAATTATCTTTTCATTTATAGTAAAATGTTTAATTACGTACTAATTTTTGATTATAGATGGGTTTAACAATTTTATATTTATAAAATTTCAATGAAACATATATGAAAATGATAAAAAATTTTATATTAACAAAATATTATATAATAAAAACATTTGTTCAATAAAAAAAAAATTTATTATTTAAAGAAATAAAACAATATATAAATTGTTAATTATTTTTTTTTTTTTTTTTTAAACTTCATAATGAAAACTACAAAAAAAAAAAAAAAAAAAAAAAAAAAATAACAGGGAACCTTTTTGGAAAGGGTAAAAAATTTTTTTTTTCCAAAATTTTTTTTTTTAAAAACCTTTTTTCAAAAAAAAAAAAAATTTTTTTTTTAAAAAAAAAAAAAAAATTTAAAAGGTTAAAATTTTTTTTTTTTTTTTTTTAAAACTCAAAAAAAAAAAAAAAAAAAAAAAAAAAAAAAAAAAAAAAAAAAAAAAAATGCACATTACCACATATTTGTAAAATATGCAAAAACAAATTTATCAAAATATAAAAAAAAAAAAAAAAAAAAAGGGTATATGTATATATGTACTTAAATTTACGTAGATTATTATTGTATTTATTAAAATAAATATGAGTTTTAAATTTCTTACCAGAAATTAATACATATACTAAAATTATGTATAAAGTATAAAAGTTTTTGTCGATTTGTTAAGAAATTATTTAAATTATAAAAAAAATATGTATTTTTTATGTATATATTATAAGAATATATTAATTTTCAGTATATTAGTGATTATTAACAAGTATCTTTCTTAACATATACTTGTAGAAATTTTTTAAAACAATATCATAAAGATACATACAAATTTATAAATTAAATAATTTCTAGTATTTTATTTTCAAAAGAAAAAAAAAAAAAAAAAATGAAAAATAATACAAAATAAAGTTGAATTGAAAAAAAAAAAAAAAAGGAAAATAAAGAAAAAATATATATATACTTATATATATATATATATTTATATATTCATAATTTTAGAAAATTTATATATTATTAAATATTTGAATATATAAAATTAAGAACTATATATATTTATATAAACATGTATAATTTTTATATAAATTTAAATTTATGAAAATTAATATATATCTTTTAAAAAAAATATTTTAGCTTTAAAAATTTCATATTTTAACAAAAAAAAAAAAAAAATTATAATCAATCTTTATATGTATTTATAATACATACATATGTAAATATATTATTTTAAATTAAAACATGGGTTGTATTATAAAAAAATAAAAAAAAAAAAAAAAAAAAGAAAAAATTAAGAAAAATAAAATATATTACAACAAAATAATAAAAAAAAGGAAAGCTTGAAAAACAAAAGAAAAAGGAAAAAATAAGTAAAAAGATAAAAACTTATACCCTAAATTCATTTCAACAATTCTTTTTATTTTAATCATTGAAAATATATTTCTATTTTTGATTATTTTTATACATGCTAATGTAAATTTATTTTATTATTTTTAATTTTCTTTTTTTTTTTTTTTTTTTTGAATCTTTGTGCAAGACGATTTTGTTATCTACTTAAAATTTATTACTATTTTAATTATTATATAATATTTTATAATATTATATGAAAATGGAATCAAATAATATTGCACAAGTTTTGTATGCAACAGTAGACCCAAATATAGATATTCGATCTGAAGCAGAATCAAAATTAAAACATGCTAAAGAAACTAATTTTGTTCAATACATAAATCAGTTATCTAATGAATTTTGTAAAAGCCAAAATGATCCTTATTTAAGACAAATTGCTGGATTGTTAATAAAAAATGCATTTACAGCTAAAGACAATTTTGAAAGTGAAGAAAGAGCAAGAACTTGGATAAATTTTCCAGAAGAAATAAAAAATGAATTAAAAAATTCATTATTACTTTTATTAAGTCAACCATGTGATAAAATAGTTATAGGTACAGCTTGTCAAATTATTTCTATTATAACAAAAATAGAATTATCTCATAATAAATCATCTGAACTGTTACATAAATTAGTAAATAATATAATAGAAAAAAATGCATACACAAAAAAATCTTCAACAGTATGTTTAGCTTATTTGACAGAAGATATTGCAGACATATGCAATGAAAGCAAAACAAAATATGTATTTACCCAACCAGATTTAGATTTAATATTAACTGCTATCATCAATTCTCTATGTGAACCAGCAGAAGAATCAATACATTGTGCAAATATGAAAGTCCTATACAACTTAATGTCATTTATTGATCAAAATTTTAAAACACAAGTCGAAAGAGATATAATTATGAAGACAGTAATTGATGGATGTAAAGATACAGAAAGATTAAGTGTACAAATAGCAGCATATGAGTGCTTAATAAATATAGTTAGTTATTTTTATTCATATTTAGATGCTTATATGTATGCTATAGGTCCATTAACATGGACTGCTATTGAATCAGATAATGAAAGAATAGCAATAAGTGCAATCGAGTTTTGGAATACAGTTTGTGAAGAAGAAACTTTTATAAATCAATATGAATTACATGAAGGAAAAAAAAATCATAACATAGTTAAACAGGCAATGGTTTTTTTGTTACCAAAAATATTCAATGCAATGATTACACAAGAGAGTGAAGATATAGATATTGATGCATGGACTTTATCCATGGCTTCTGCAACTTTTCTTGCCTTAAGTGCACAATTATTAAAAAATGATATAGTAGAACCAGTTATTTCTTTTGTTGAAGAAAATTTCATACATGAAGATTGGAGAAGAAGAGAAGCTGCTGTTCTGGCTTATGGATCTATAATGGAAGGACCAGATACTGAAAAATTAAAACCATTGGTAGAGGAATCTGTTGGTCAATTGTCAGAAGTATTGAGAGATCCTTCTGTTTCAGTTCGAGATACTGCAGCTTGGACTATTGGAAAAATTACTACTTTTCATTCTGAAATAATTTATAATGTTTTAGGTAATTATAACGATAGTAATTCTCTTTATGGTATATTATTAGAAAGACTAAATGATTACCCAAGAGTAGCAGCAAATGTATGTTGGGTTATTAATCAACTAGCTGTAAATAAAAAAAGCTCCTTTGATAAAATAACTAATAGTTATATAACTCATTTAGATGATTCTTTTTGTGTTTTATGCAAAAAATTAATAGACGTAACTTCAAGAGAAGATGCGGATACAAGAAATTTAAGAGAAGCTGCTTTTAATGCACTCAATGTTGTTATTCTAAATGTTTCTGATAACTGCTTAAAATATATGATTGAGCTATTATCACATATGATGTATTTATTAACGAATACTTATATTAATCCACTAACAGAAGAAGTTAAATCTTTGCAGGGTTATTACTGTGGTACTATGCAATTTATTATTAACAGGCTTGGTAGTCAATGCAAGCCTTTTCTTAAACCTATTTATTTGAGTATATTTCGATTATTTGAAATTAGAAATGATATATGTGAAGATGCACTATTGGCATGTAGTGCAATTATTAATGTAATGGGAGAAGACTTTAGAGAACATTTAAAAACATTTTTAAATGTTATATTTAAGGGATTAAGGAATGTATCTGAAACATCTACATGTAAGATATGCATAGAAATGGTATCAGATATATGTATACCATGGACCGTAGAATTTGAAAAGGAAATGGAATTGATTTTAGAATGCTTATGGGATGCATTAAAAACATTCGGAGTTCACGATTCTATAAAAATTAGTATATTAACTGTATTGGGAGATATTGCTACTGCATTAAATAGATGTTTTTCAAGATATCTTAATTTTTTTGCTAACATTTTAACTGAAACTTCTAAAATTACAATTAGTTCAGGGCCACCCGAAAGTGACGATTGGGTAAATTATGTTTTTGAACTTAGAGACGCAATTTTATTAACATATAGCAATATTATATATGCATTAATTGATGGAAATGAAATAGCAAAACTAAAAACTTATATACCTAATATATTAGATTTAATTGAATTAATATTGGTTAAAGAAATAAATCACTTCAATGCTCAAAATTTTCAAAATGCAGTTTCTTTATTGGGCGATTTAGTTCATGCATATGGTTATGAATTAATCGAAAATTCTAAGTTAACTGATTTAATTATATCAGTTTATGGAAAGATTGATATTTTATCTAGTCAAGGAGATGAAAAATGTGAATCATGCGTTTTAAAAATTAAGTGGCTAAAAAGAATATGCAATGCTAGATTAGCTCAGAAATAAAATAAAAAAATTTTTTGAACAGATATTTATACCATATATATCCCTAACTTTTTTTTTATATATTGTAGTATTTAAAAGTTTAATATATTCTAAGTAATTAGGATACATATATATTAAAAATACAAAATTTTAATATATATATAAAAAATATAGAACTAATTGAAGTTAAAATTCAGAGATCAAAGAAATTAAATGTCTTTAATAAATAAAGTAACACCATTTATTATGTTAATATATATATATATATATATATATATATATATATATATATATAATCTGTCATATTTAATAACATATTTTCCTATATATTTGCTTTTTTTTATTTTTTTTACTTTTTCTAATTTATCTATTTGCTTTTATTCTTACTACTCCTTCTATCTGATTTTCTTATTTTCTAATATTCTTTTCTTAACACTTTGTTTTTATCTTATATTCTTATCTTTTTCTTTTATTAAAATCCTAATTTCTTTTTGTCTTATCTTCTTTCTCCCATACTTTCTTTTGTTTTCTTAAACTCTTATTCTCTTTTTTCCCGTCTATCTTATTTTTTTTTTTTCTTTTTTTTTTTTATAAACATTTTATATATAATCACATTTTGTAATGAATTTTTTTCATCATTTCTTCTCATTTATAATGCGTTACATTTTAAATAAATTATGTTATATTTTGATTATAATTTATAATTAATTTTTCATAGTGTATTTTTTTTTCTCACTTCTATTTTAAAAAAAAAAAAATTCTCTATAATATCTTTTTACCTCATTTTTTTTTCTAATTCAACTTTTTTTTATCTTTTTCCAAAAAAAATACCTTATTAAACTTTATCTTCTTTATCTTTTGAAATAGTATCTTACTATATATTTACTTTTGCAAATATTATCCTATTTCATAATTTTAAACTTCTTCATCTCATCCTACTTAATATGTTTAAACATTACCTATTAAAGTTTTATCTTAAATATTATCTATTAAAACTTTATCTTAATATACTTCACCTTCTTATTAGACTTAACCTTTTTAACTTTTTTTTTTTTTTTTTGTCTATTTCCTATTCTTAGTATAAATATTTATATCTTTTTTTT